TGAAGGCGGCGTTTTTTTCTCTCCTGAAGGGAGTTTCTGCCTCTTCCACCTCAATTAGGATTGTCCTTTGTTGCAGGAGTTCCTCTTATCCAGCTTTCAGTTCTGTCTCAGAGGTAATTTTTCCACGAGTAGTTGTAAATTGGCTGTGTCTGCGGGAGGAGGTGAGTTCAGAGTCTGTTTATGCTGCCATCTTGACTTCTCTCCATGTTCGAAAAAGAACTGCATGTGATCCAGCAATCCCACTTCTGGGTATATATCCAAAGGATATAAAAGCACTACCTTGATGAAATATCTGCATTCCCAAGTACATTGTAGCATGATTCACAATAGCCAAGATATGGAAACAGCCTAAATGTCCACCAATGGATGAAGGTATAAATAAAATGTAAGATTACACATACCTCTCACGATTCCCAATTTCAAAAATTACTACAAAGCTGCAGTAATCAAAACTGTGGTAATGGTGTAAAGACAGACATATAGATCAATGAAATAGAATTGAGAATACAGAAATAAACCCACGTATCTATAGCCAATTGATTTTTGACAAGGGTGCCAAGTCCGTTCAATGGAGAAAAAAAAAAACTTTTCAACAAATGGTGCTGAAACAACTGCATATCCACAGGCAAAGAATTAATTTGAACCCATATCTCACAACATATAAAAAACTTAAAACAGATCAAAGACCTAAATGTATGAGCTAGGACTGTGAAATTCTTAGAAGTGTAAATCTTCATGTTCTTGGATTAGGCAACAGTTTCTTAGCTATGACACTTAAAACACAAGCAACCAAAGGGGAAAAACAAATAAATCAGAATTCATTAAAATTAAAAAACTTTTATTCTTTGCAGAACACTTCAAGGAAGTGAAAAGACAACTGACGGAATGAGAGAAAATATTTGCAAATCATATATCTGATAATAGTATAGTATCCAAAATATATAAAAACTTTACAACTCAACAGTAAATAAAAACAACCCAATTAATAAATGGCTAAAGGATTTGAATAGACGTTTCTCCAAAGAAGATGTACGCATGGCCAATAAGCCCATGAAAAGTTGCTCAACATCATTAATCATCAAAGGAATGCAAATGGAAACCACAGTGAGATACCACTTCACATCCGTTTTTTTTTTTTAAAGATTTTTTTTATTTATTTTATTTTTTCCCCCCAAAGCCCCAGCAGATAGTTGTATGTCATAGCTGCACATCCTTCCAGCTGCGGCATGTGGGACTCGGCCTCAGGATGGACGGAGAAGTGGCGCCTCGATGCGCACCCGGGATCCGAACCCGGGCCGCCAGCATTGCAGCGCGCGCACTTAACCACCAAGCCACAGGGCCGGCCCTTCACATCCGTTTTGATGGCTATAATTTTTTCAAAAAAGGAAAGTAACAAGTGTTGGTGAGCATGTGGAGAAATGGTGCAGCTGCCATGGAAAGCTGTTTGGTGGTTCCTCAAAAAATGAAAAGTAGATTTACCTTATGACCTAGCAATTCCACTCCTTGGCATATACCCAAGAGAATTGAAAACACATGCCGTACAAAAACATGTACACCAATATTCATAGCAGTATTGTTCATAATAGTCAAAGAGTGGAATCAACTCAAATGTCCATTAACTGACGAATGGATTAAAAATTGTAGTACATACATACAATGGAATATTATTCAGCCATAGAAACGTATGAAGTACTAACACATGCTACAGCATGAATGCATCTTGAAAACACTGCTAAGTAAAAGAAGCCAGACACAAGAAGTTACTTATTGTGTGATTTCAATCATATGAAATATCCAAAATAGGAAAATCTATAATGATGTTAAGTAGATCAGTGGTTGCCAGAGACTGGGGGAGGGCAGAGTGGTGATTGACTGCTAGTGAGTATGGGGTTTATTTTTGGAGGGATGAAAATGTTCTGGAATCAGGTGGTGGTGAGAGTTGCACAACTTGGTGAATGTACTAGAGACTACTGAATTATACCCCTTTAAATGGTGAGGTTTTTGGCTAGTTTTTGGATTTTTGTGTTTTGGTCAGTGAGGAAGATTGGCCCTGAGCCAATCTCTTCCAGTCTTCCTCTATTTTGTATGTGGAATGCCGCCACAGCATGGCTTGATGAGCAGTGTGTAGGTCCGTGCCTGGGATCCAAACCTGTGAACCCCAAGACGCCGAAGCAGAGCACGAGAACTTAACCACTACACCCCTGGGCCAGCCCCTAAATGGTGAGTTTTATGGATTGTGAATTATATCTCAAAAAAAGAGACCTTTACAAACAAAATTTTTAAAAGTTTACAGAAAGACATAAAAGAATTCCTAAGCAAATGGAGGGATAGTCTGTGTTCTTAGAATGGACTCAGTCTTATGATAGCTTTTCTCCCCAAGGTTAACACACTTACAATGAAAATCCCAGCAAGACTTTTCAGGAAACTAACACTGACACCAAGAAATGCTTGATAGAAATTTCTATCGTCAACAATAGCTTTGAATAGTTTGTCACATTGTGAATATCTGAATTTGTAATTTTTAACTATTTGGGTATGAATCTACCAGGTCTTGGCGCCTTATTTATAGGGGATCTTTAATAGCCTTCTCAATTTATCAAGTTTTACATATTTTCTTCAGTTAATTTTAGTAATTTACACTTAGTTAAGAAATCAGTTCCTCTTAGTTTTCAAATTTGCTGACATAATATTCTCTTATATTTATTTAAACCTCCATGTGATTATTTCCCGTTTCTCATTCCATTTTTGTTCTGTTTCTTGATCACCCAGGTTCATGGGATGTTTATCTGTAATACTGGTCTTTTCAAAATACCATCTTTTAAACTTATTTTCCAACACCAATTTTTGTTTTCTATTCAATTTACTGCTTTCTAGATTCATCTAGTCTCTCATTCTGATTTCCTACGGTGTGCTGAGGGACTGAAACTGAGTCAAAGGAAGACAGGAAATGCCAAATCTGAGAAGACACTAGAGAGCTGTATAGAGATAAACTGCCATGGTCCCTCCTGCTCGCCTGTGTGACTGATCATGAGATCCTCACTGGAGGAGAGCTCTGGAATGGAATGGACTCAAGTGCCCTGGGATGTCTCTGACAAGACGAAAGCAGACAGGCAAAACAAGTCCCCATGGAGCTTGTTTCTGAGGAAGACTCAACTGCGTGGCAGATATCCTAATCCTTATGTCATAACGCAATTGTGAACTCATAGCTCTCGCCCTCATATTACTCATGCCAGACATTGGGAAATAGAGAAGTCAAAGCTAATGAACCATCTAGAGACAAACCATGGGGATTCAATTTTGTGTAAGAGATATGGCCAGATCTACTAGGCAGGCTAGGGGTGGGTGGGAATCACCCTGGACTTCATAGGCCTTGGGAAAAGAGGGGATGCTAAAGCAGTGGGTATCCTTGTGCAGAGCCATAGAGACAAACAGCAGTCTTAACTCCTCCCTTCATTTCCCATTTACTTCTGTTGACAGACAAACGGCCATTTAATTTTAATTGTAGTTGAAGATGTTGAAGAAACAATTGAATGGCAGATAAGGAAGAAGCAGAAAGCCGAGGTGAGTAAAATCTCCACGTAATTAAGGGATATCCAGAACATTTATGTCTGTGTCGTGAGGTGTAGACTTGTGCCTCTTACGGATCCAGAGTCTAAAATAATCAGGAGTCAACTCAATATTGGCTCATTTTCCCTCCACTTCCTTCTCAGCATGGGCTCTCTGGGTCTGGGTCTGATTCTGACCTAGAGAGTGAATGGAGAGAATGAAAGCCATTAAGAAATGCATGGGCCTGGGAGATGAGAATATGAGGACTCTAGAGAGTAGAATGTTCAAAATACGGGAAGGCTGGGAGGAGAATATGTGATGAGGGTGCTGAAAACCCACCAAAGTATAGAGATACTATATTGTCGTGGCAGAGAGAAATCAGCCAATGGTGGTTTGGGACTAGAATTAGCAGAGAATGCCAGGCAAAAGCCTTATGAGGCCAAACCTCCCAAAGCCAATAAGCACTGCAGAGATAGAGTGTAACTAACAAAGTCCCTCACATGCCTAATGCACCTTTCTAGTTACTAGTGGTTTTTCCCTTGACCCACGCACCTGTGAGGTAGTCAAGAGGAGGATACTGTGACTCTGAGGGCAAGGTGATGTGTCCATAGTGGCAGAGCAGGGCTCCCCACCCTGGTCTGCTGGCTCTGAGTCAGTGGCCTGCTAATTCCCCTAACCGCTCCAAAGAAGAACTGACTGTTAAGAGAATGCAGGCCCCTTCCAGGACGATGCGGGAAGTTGGTGGCAGGAAGGTCCCTGAGTGGTCTCTCTTATCTCTGCCTAGAATGATTTTAGAAAAAAAAGAGCAGCAGCCACGGAGATCCAGGCCTGGTGGCGTGGCACTCTCTTGCGCCGGACATTGCTGCACGCAGCCCTCAGGGCCTGGATCATTCAACGCTGGTGGAGGAAGACACTGGTGAGGCTGCTGCTGAAGAAGCGGAGGGCTGCCCTGATTACCTACACAAATAGAGAGAGGGCAGTGGTCAAGCTCCAGTCTTTGGTCCGTATGTGGCGCATCCACTGGCGATACTGCCAGGTGCTCAACGCCATCTACATCATCCAGTGCCACTGGCAATGCCACAACTGCCAGACCTGTGCTCTCCTCCGGGGCCACTGCGTAGTCACAGCCACTCACCTGCAGTTCCACATTGAGATCATCAACCCCTAAGGGCTGGCAAGAAGGGGCACTGTGTCTCCTGTCCCCAGTAAAGGTCTAACCTGGTCTGGTGTGTCTCATGGTCTCCCCCAGCTAATGGAAATTTTGAGGCTTAGGCCATGCTGCCTCCTCTTCTCCCTGGGAAGGAACTTCAGTGAGGTTTTCCCCCCTTGCCTGTGGACCCTGTTCTGGACTGACAATGACCATATGCCACTTACTCAGTTGTCAAAACAGAAACTGAGGTCCTAGTCTTCCCTGATATATGACAGAGCCAAAAGTCGCAGTTCCCATGCCCAGCCCCATTCCTTTCTTCTCACCCAGTGATCTGAGAGACAAGTGGTCTGCATCTTCCTGATGACTCTGGGCACATCTGCACATGAGAATGGACTCTGAGGCTCTTCTCTGTCAGCCCAGAGTCAGAGAATGGCTGGGGTCTAGGATACCTCACACAAGACAAAGTATCTTTGGCAAGCACCGAGAGACAATGCCAACATCTGGCTGACTCTTCTGAGAGCAGTGCAATGCAGCCCCAGGTGAAGGACAGGAGGCTGGCCTTAGTGATGGGTGGGACTAGTCATGCTGATGAGCAGCTGACGACCTTGGGGACTAGTAGGAGTTCACGGCACTTCAACTCTATCTCCACAATTCCCTTACCAGAACTCCTCTCCCTGAGGGATGTGCAACAAACAGGCCTCCCTCTGTATGACCCCCATCCCTACCTTTGTCTCCATTCTTGGTGATTTTATCATTGGCCAAGATGATCCTATCAATCTCCCTAATTCATTCTAATAAACCTTGTTTGCTCCCCTCCTCAGTCACTCACTCCCATGGTCACACTAAAGCAGTGCTATTCAATAGAACTTCTGTTATGATGGAAATTTTCTGTATCTGTGCTGTCCAATGTGGTAGCCACTAGCCATACATGGTTGTGGAGCACTTGCAATGTGCCGAATGCAATGAAAGAATTGAATTTTAGTTTTATTTAATTTAAATTAACTTAAGTTTAAATAACCTCATGTGGCTAGTGGCTCTTCCATTGGACAACGTGGCTCTAGACCTCACACCTCACCATTACTGATAATTGTTTGTTTTTGTTAGTGCCATTCCAGTCGAATCCAACTGCTAGCAACCCTGTGTACAGCAGAGCGAAACACTGCCCGGTCTTTTTTGTGCCATTTTCTCATCTCCCAGAGCTATATCAGACAGTGCTGTGGTGCTATTCATAGGGTTTTCATGGCCAATTTTTCTGGAAGTGAGTGGCCAGGTCGATCTTCCTACTCTGTCTCAGCCTGGAAGCTCCACTAAAACCTTTCTACCCAGGGTGACCCTGCTGGTGTTTGAAATACCGGTGGCACGGCAACATGGAGCCACCATAGTATGACAACTGACAGATGCGTGGTATGGTTCCCTGACCGGGAAATGAATCCAGGCTGGGGCATTGAGTGTACCGAATCTTAACTACCAGACCACCAGGGCTGGCTATCAATAATTGTACTATTGCCCAAATTGTTTTTCCTAGTGTTCCAGTCTCTGATTACTTTATTTTCTCTTTCCAGTTCACTTTTCAAATAACCCCAATAGAATGTTTCTTCAGATGTGATAAGATCTTCCAATCTATTGACCCTAACAATTTTGCTTTGCAACCATCACCCCTGACACGCCCTTGCATCTTTCTTGACCCCAATCAGATTCTGTGGTGAATTATTATAATCTCTCCCCAGCACAACTTGACTTCCTTTGGCCCTCTCTCCCTCTCTGCAAACATGTGTGGGATGAACTCAACCATCTACCTGCTCTGCGCCTGCAGAAGAGCGAGTATGGCGGGAGCAAAACCATGAGACATGGTCTTAGTTTATATTCATGACTGCAGCTGCAGATCTCCACTGGACAAATTTCCAATAAATTTCTCTGATATGTTTGCAGTTCTATATTTTGAGTTGAATAATTCAAACCACCTCCTCCCCAAATGTTCAGTTCCGTTTCTTCTCCCTTTGAACTCAATGATGATAATGTATGTCACCACACACTTAACTGAGAAATGGGAGCAGACTGGATCCCCATATTCCTACCAGCTCATTCTCCGTCCTCTCTCCATTTGGACCACACTTGCTGCCTTCCCTCCAGTGAAATAAATGAAAGGTCTTTGATCTCATCAAAGGCCAACCACTTCACTATTCTGCTGCCATCTCAAGGTATTTGATCCTTCATTCATAACCCCACTACCCAAATTGTCAAAGTCTACCTCTTCCATCTTTAAAAAATATGTCCTTGATAAAGAAGATGTGGTATATACACATAGTGAAATACTACTCAGCCATAAAAAAGATGAAATCTTGCCATTTGCAACCACATGAATGGACTTTGAGAGTATTATGCTAAGTGAAATAAGTCAGATGGAGAAAGACAAATACCATATGATTCACTGGTATGTGGAAGATAAACAACAAACACACAGATACAGAGAACAGATTAGTGGTTACCAGAGGGGAAGAGGGCTGTGGGGAGGGTGAAAGGGGTAAAAGGGCACATTTGAACGGAGATGGATGGAAACTAGACTTTTGGTGGTCAACATGATGTAATCTATACAGAAGTTGAAATATAATGATGTACACCTGAAAGTTATATAATGTTATAAACTAATGCTACCTCAATAAAAAAATTTTTAAGTATGTCCTTGATCCATTTCTGTTCCAGTTGTTTGCTTCTCCTCATAGCAAAACATGCTGTCACTGTTTCCACTTCTGTTCCTACCATTTTCTCTTCAATCCATTCCACTGAAGCTTCTTTCCCTCTCACTCCACTGAAACTGCACTGATCATCATCACCAATATTCCAACTGGCCAAATCCAATTGTTATTTTTCTGATATTACCTTATGCAGTCTCTCTACATCAGGCTACAGAGTTAACTACACTTTTCTTACTGACATACATAATTTTTTTAAGACAAATAATAAAAATCACACCATTTAACCCATTAATACTGTAATATATGTCTTTAGTAAGAAGAACTTTGTAAAAATATAACCTCAACATTATCGTATCTTTCAACATTCACAATAATTCCTTAATATCACAGAATATGTATATGCACCAATAACTGAGTTTCAAAAGACATAAAGCAGAATTCTCCTGTGCCCCTTTGTAGTGAATCACTACTCCACCACCAGACCCTAGCAAACACTGAGCTGTACTCTGTCTCTAGTGTTTTGACTTTTCCAGAATCTCATATAAAAGAAATTATAGTTTGTAGCATTTTGAGTCTGACTTCTTTCACTTAGCATAATGTGTTTGAGATTTCTCTATGGTGTTGTGGGTATTCATTTGTTGTTGTTGCTGAATAGTATTTCACTGTATGGATGTTATTGGAGGCTTTCACCAGTTGAAGGAGCTTGGAGTTGTTTCCAGTTTTTGGTGATAACAAATGAATCTGCTATGTATATCTGTGTACAGTTTTCTCTGTGAACCTAAGTTTTGCCCTTTCTTTGGTTAAAAACCTAGGAATGGTGGAATACTACTCAGCCATAAAAAAAGACAAAATCGTCCTATTTGCAACAACATGGATAGTCCTGGAGACTATTATGTTAAGTGAAGTAAGCCATAAAGAGAAAGACAAACACTGTATGATCTCACTCATATGTGGAACATAAACCAACAAATGGACAGAAAAAAACTGTATTGTAGTTACCAGGGGCAATGGGGGTAGGGGGTGGGCACAAGGGGTGAAGGGAGACGTATATATGATGATGGACAAACAAAAATGTACAACCCAAAATTTCACAATGTTATAAACTATTAAAACATAAATTAAAAAAAAAAAACTAGGAATGGGAGCTTCCAGTTCTGGCACAAGATGGTATTGACTCACTTTTCCCTTCTCCTCCTCTCTAAATGAAAACTAAATACTCTGAAACTAATTCAACAGACAATCATGAAAGGACTCTGAAATGTGGAAAGGAGAAGGTGGATCAGCTAGGAATCTCAAGATTTTAATAGATACACCATGATGAATTCCCTGGGATTTCTTTTATCTATCATATATCTCAGAATGAACACCAGAGATGTCTGCAGCCCAGAACCACCAAAAGGCACAGGGAAAACAACACAAAACAAACAAAAAATGAAAAAAGTCTGCTCTCTCTGGCCAAAGGAAGGGGAAGCCCCTCAGTGACTAAGCAGGGAGACCCATACCTAGTGGCAATGATAGACTGTACTGCTTGTAGCAGTGACTCCAGTACCCAGATGAGCCAATCCATCCCACACTCCACACCTGCTGGTAGTATCAGGCATTAACTGCTCACAGCAACAGCAACAGTGGAACCCAGACTTATCCACCCACTCTGCACCCCACATCTGCCGGCAGCAGTGGCCCAATCTGTCCTAAGTAGCTTTAACAGCAGAACCCAGGTGGGTCAACCCACCGCATTTTTCATCTGCTGGCAGAGGAAGGCCTGATCCACCTACAGCAGCAACAGTAGAACCTGGGCAGGTCAAATCCTCCCTCACCCCAAACTAGAGAGGAAGGGAAGGGAACCCCCCATACCTCAGCTCCAGCAGGCCTAGTGTCTTCTGGCCTTCCACCCAATGGCAGAGGGCAATCCAGACCCAGCAGCTCCTGGCTGTCTCTTCAGCCACAAAAGAAGATCCAGAACAGGAGTCTCCTGGCCCTCCAACCAACAGCAAAGTGTCATCCAGGTAGGCCTTTTCCTCCTCTGGTAGCAACAGTAGAGATAGAATGGGAAACCCACTGGCACCAGGTGGTCAGGGAATAGGTGAGGGTCCTGCTCTCCATTCCAGAGATTCAACATCCCTAACCCTCCATCTAACGACAACAGAGGACCCAGAGAAATACCTTCAACCTTGCAAGTGGCACCAGAAGGAATGTAGTCAAAGTACGAGTGGAACCAAAAGAGCAAAGCACACCATAATTGCTATGAAGGAGCTCATAAAAGTAAATTCTCATTAGAAATAGAGCCCACAAAAGTAGGCTAGAATCTACATGCTAAATTTCAACAGGATGCTGCTTTCTAAAATGGGAGACTTAACTAGCATCAAGAGTTTCCTAACATAATATGCAAAATGTCCAGCATACAATAGAAAATCACTCATCACATTAAGAATCAATAAAATCACAACTTGAATGAGAAAAGACAACCAACTGATGCTGAAATGAATCAGATGTTGGACTTATGTGACAAAAATTTTAATGCAACCACCATAAAATTGCTTCAACAGGTAATTACAAGTTCCCTCAAAGCAAACAAAAAAAAAAATAGAAAACCTCACTAAAGAAATAGAAGTTACAAAAAAGAACCAAAGGGAAATTATAGAACTGAAAAACACAATCACTGAAATTAAAAAAAAAAAAAAAAAAGATTTGCTAGATAGGCTCAATAGTAAAGTGGAGAGAACATAAGATAATATCAATAACTCAAGGGCAGATCAACAGAAATTGCTCAGTCTGAACAATGGAGAGAAAATAAACTGAAAAAAGATGAACAGAACCTCAAGGACCTATGGGACAACAACAAAAGATCTAACATCTATGTCACTGGAGTCTCAGAAGGAGAGGAGAAAGAATGTGGGGCTGAAAAAGTACT